TAGACTTGGGCCCAATCGGGGCCTACGCTGGCGGGCCGCGCGGACCCGTGGGGGCGTTGGGCGGGGGCCGCGCTTCGGCGCTGGCGGCGGAGGAGGGGCGAATGCAGCAGGTGCGGGCGGGGGACGGTCGATCGGTGACCTCAGCGGGGGAGATGGGGCGAGGAACACGCCGACGATGACAGGATCCTTTCGCTCGGTGGGGAGGTCGGCGCCGAGTTCGCTGAGCACCGACGGCACCGTGTCAGACGGAAGGATAGGGATCAGGTACACTTCACGCGCCGTTCCGGGGGGTGGCCGCTCTCCGTAAGGGTGCGAGATACCGTGGCGGTCACGGCTGACGTGGAATTCTACCAAGGCCGCAAAGGCGTCTTTCTCCGCCTGCGATGCAGTTGCGGGCACGGAGAGGAGGACGGGCTGGAGATGCTTGCTAGGGTCATTCCGGCGGTCGGACAGATACTTCAGCGAGTGGGCTGTGGGGACGCGGCCCGTGATGGTGAGGTTGTTCCCTGGAAGAAGGCGAGACCAGTGTACTGATGGCAGCGGCTGAGCGGCCAAGTGACGGAGCTCGATTGGTGGCGGCGGGGTCTGAACGGCGGGGTTGATGATGCCTCCCTTCCACCCGACAGGCTGCTGAAGCAGCTTCGCCATCTCACCGTCATCCTCATGGTCGAGCTCCATCTCCTCGTCCTCGTCTGAGAATGCAGTTTCGGGGACCATGTCGCTCAGATCGATCTCCTGTTCGCCCATCTCAATCTCCTCCTTCTCATTAGCCTTGCTCTCTCCCCACGCGGAGCTGATGCTGATAGATGGCCGGGGCGGCACGGCGCTCGGAGTGGACGACACACGGCGTACCGATGGCGGCTTCTCCCCTTTCTCCGTCTTGGGACTGGCCGGAACATTGGAGATGGGGCTGTGCGAAACGTCAACTGAGGTGCGGCGGTCAACGGAAGTCCGCCGCTCGCTCTCGGGGGACGGCGAGGTTTCGCCGGCCGCTCGCCGGCGCTCACGCTCACGGGCCTCCTCCTCTTGCCTCCGGATCTTTGCCATCTCCTCTTCCCGCGTGTCGGGCAGGAACTCGAGCCCATCTCGACCAGCGCGCACAGCTTCTTGCTCGTCCTTGATGCGGACATGCTGGCGAAGCGCTTCCGCCTCCGCCTTCTCGATGATGGCACGCTGCTCTGCGTTCGCCAGTTCGGTCGAGTTCAACATTGCAACCTTAGCCGGCGATAGCGTTCGGTCACGAATTGAGGCGATCAAGTCGGGATTGAGATCTTGGAACTTGGACAGCGCGCCGTGCAAGAGGTTGAACTGAGCCCTGGGGGGTTAGTGCTGCAGGCAGGAGGTGACTCACTTGTATCGCCCGCCGGCGGTCTGCTTGCCCTTGACCATCTCGTTCAACGTCGAGAACAGTGTCGACTCGACGGCATGCCCGTATTCGCTGGCGTCGGAATCGCTCATGACGTCCCCGATGAGGGTGCGGATGACAGCAGCCATCTTGTCGGCGACGTATTGACGGGCAGCCGGGAGTGCGCCGGGGGTGACTGGTGTAACAGGCGACTGGGGAGCAGCTGTGCTAGACGTTGAGGGCTTGCGTTCGTGCAAGGACGGCAGTGACGGCTTCCTCTGATCTTGGGACCGTGCCGCGCGTGTCCGGGGCTTCTTACGAGTGTGCTCGGCGCCATAATCATCATCGCCTTCCTCATCCTCGTCGTTGTCGCTGGCGGCAGCCTCGGATGCCGAGTCATCGTTCGATGATTCGCTGGCCGAAGCGTCGTCGTTCGCACCGTCGTCGCTTTCGCCATCGCCCTCGGCCTCCTCTTCTGGAGATGTGTCGGCAGGGGGTGACTCTTTCGCCTGGAGGAATCAGTAATGGAACACAGAGCTGGACTCACTGGCCCAGAAGCTTTCCGTTTCGAGGATCGGCGACCCGTCGCAGACGAGCTCTTCTTGCCTTTGCCTTTAGGCTTCGGTGGTGGTGATTGTTTGCTTTGCTCGTCTTCGCCCTCGGCCGCCGCCAGGAGATTCGCCTCGTCATCGCCATCTAATGTCAACAGCCGCTCGCGCACAGTGGGGTCACAGGGGAAAGTCAGGATGACGAAGGTCGTGGCTATGCAATGCAGGACCGTACAGAGCAGCAGGACACGTAGCTAAATAGTGCACGCGTAGCAGCAGCCGATCTGGACATTAAACGGTCCGAGTACACACTGCGTCCAGATTCGGGATCGCGAGGCGTAATCACGGGACGACTGTCGTCCGATCTCCATGACATGGCTTCGCCCTTAGTCATATCGCGGCAGAATGCACTTTTCAACCGGACGGCCCACGTCTACGTCCGCATGCCGGCCAACAGAGCACCCGTGCACAGAACATCAGGTCGTCCAAACAGCCAGTGCCGAAGGGTACTTTTTGCGCGTCTGGATAACTACATCTACATATGAAGAGAGGAACGTGCGATGGTTGTACGTCAGTAGGGTGTGACTTACATGTGATACTGAGGCCCTTGCTCTCGATGCAGCTGGGGCACGCGTAGGACTCTGTCGGTGTTAGCATCTGCTACTGTACCCGGCCACGACCAGGTGCAGGCCTAGCTCTTAGCAGCCAGCGACGGGAAGGAGCAAGGCGCCAGCGCAACGATGAGGGTACGCACGGATCTTATCGGCATCTTCCGTACTGAGATCGATGCAGTCGAAGTGGAACCTGAATGTCAGTGACGGAGAGAGGAAGGAAGACGAATTGCGCAGTCGATAAGCGGGACTCACCAGTCCTTGCAGCCCTCGCATTCGATCATCTCGCCCCTCGCCTCTTTCTGGCACACACAGTGGGTCTTCTTGCCGCGCCGCCGCGTTGATTTCCTCTTTCCAGCTTCTTCAGCCTCTGGCTTCCCATCCTCCTTCGTGTCCCGTGGTTCATCTCCAGCTTGACTTTGTCGTCCTTCCTCGGGTTGTTTTTGTTCTGAGTCAGCAGTTGCGCTCGAGCTCTGCTTCGCCTTGGCGGCTGCGAGGAGGTTCTCGGTCGCTTCAGCCTCCACAGCCTTCGCGGACCGTGTCCGAACGCGAGTGCTGGCCCGTGTGGCCATGGTTGAAGATGGATGAGCTAGATGGAGGAAGGAAAGGTGGTGAGATGGGCTGGTGGGTGGCCAAAGCTGAGAGAGGGACGAGGAACGAAAGTCAACCGAGATTTTGCTTCCGTCATTCCGTCATAGACGAGTGGCACTATAGCTGTTTTGGAACAGATTCGGATATCGGTGGGATGAACTCCAAATTCTATGCCTGCAACGAAAATCTAAGCAAAGCAAAGAAGCAAGATCGTAGGAAATCATTCATTGAGAAAGCTGTCAAAATGCTTTACAAGGAGGGGAGTACAATGTCCAACTTCGCCCAGCGAAGCTCATGTTCTTATTTTTTGTCTGGATTTTATGAATTTTTCTTTAGATCGAGAGTCGAGTCTGCTTGGCGACTATAGCGGCACCAGGCGTCAGGTCCATGTGGAGGCAACTAGCGGCGACCGGCTTCAATCACTTCACGGTCGACGCCTGCGCAGAGTCCGTTCCACTCGGCGGTGAAGGCCTCGCCAACCGCACTAGGACCGTATTCGCCTGCGGCAATACGTGCGCGGAGGGCGTTAGGCTGCATGTTGATGAGGCCCTGTTTGCCGGCAGCCAAATGCCATCCAATGTGACAGTGCATCGGCCAGACCCCCGGGGTGTCGGCGGGGAGTCGGAGGACAACCCATTCTTGGCCAGTGAGGGTGATCACATCGCGTCTGAGGGGGTTCACCAAGTCAAACCTGGAGGTGTCCAGTTGGTCCACTTCCATAATTCCTTCACCTCTGTCAAGGATGAAAAACGGCCGGGAGTGAATGTGGAATGGGTGCGCTAGGGGAGCTGCGTCCCTGGAGTTGATGAAGAGGTCGACGGCACCATCGAGATCGCCATTGAACTCAACGATTCCAGCAGCAGAGGTGTTCAATTCACGATTGAGAGCCACCTCTCCCAAGGCCGGCTTGTTCGCGTAATTGAGGTATTGGACTCCACTGACGTTGAAGCCGACTACCTCGAATCCTAGCCAGTTTGTGAAGGTTCCGGCCTCTGTCCAAAATGACGCGGTCTTGAAGGAAGTTTGAGGGACTTGAGTGATGTTTCGAGGGAGCAACTTAGCGCCCTCTGCTACACCAAGGTCTCGGCAAGGTGTGTCAGCCCCAGCGAGGTTGGGCCAGGGCTGATCGACTGGTTCATTGAGGTTGCTCCCTGGGAATTGGAGGACAAGTTTCTGCTCTTGCTGTTGGGCATCGCTCCCCAGGCAGTTAGTGGCCAGTCGAGAGCGCAGGAAGATCTGGTCACCGGGGGCGTTGGAGCTGCCGTCGATAATGACGCTGTAGCGTTGGCCGGGATGCATTGGGATTTCGGTGGCAGTGAAAGGTTCGATGGGTGTGTCGTCCACTTCAATTACGGTTAAATTATGCTGGTCGATCGAAATTCGATACATGGCATGGCTGGCGGTGCTGATCAGGCGAAGGCGGGTGCGGTTCTGGGAGACTTGCAATGTTGCTGGTTGAGTCTGGTCACACTGAACGGTGGGGTCGGCATCAGCGCACACAGACTGGCCCACGCCATTGACCAGGGCGGCATCGGGAGGGGGTACGACTGGGCGTCCACGGAAGCCTTGCTCCGTGATGATGCCCAGGACGATGTCGTCAGCCTGGTCTCGCATCCAGTCTGTGATATAGACGATGCGTTCCTCATCGTAATCCCGGCCTCTCTGGTATGGTTGGTCCGGGGAGTGGACGATGAGACCACCGTGCAAGCCGTCGGCTTGAGTGTTGCCGGAGTGAGAGTGCCACCAGTATGTCCCGGTCTCGTCATCAACGTTGAATCGGTAGGTAAAGCTCTCGCCTGCGCGGATAGGACACTGAGTCGTGCCCGGGACGCCGTCCATGAAAGGGGTCTTGAGCTGGCGGAGCCCGTGCCAGTGAATGGATTGCGACCGGTCCAGCTTGTTATTAACGTGGACTACTATGGTGTCGCCTTTGTTGGCTTCGATAAGGGGGCCGGGGTAGATGCCATTGACCGTGCTCATGCGACGGTGGAACCCATCAGGGGCTCCAGCTGTGTACTCAATGTCCCAGGTGTATTCACGGGTCTGGGGAGGGGCAGTGATGTCCCAGTCGGCAGCAGGTGTGAAAACAGATTGGTCGGCAGAATTGCTCTTGCTGGGAAGAGGTGGTTGGGGAATGGCAGTGATGATTTCCACGGCACTGCCGGAAGCCGAGATTACTGCTTTGTTGAAACCTGCGTTGTTGGCCCCGCCGAGGCCCAAAAGACCCGAAAGGTCCCCAAGTCCACCAGATGCGGCAACGGTAGCCTGGGCACCAGCAGCATCCGTGGGCACTGTGAAAGTCTGCACCAGAGTCTGGGTGAGAGGGAAGGGGTCGGCGTCTATGAGTCGGGTAGTGGTAAAGACAGCCCCTGGCTGCAACTGTCCGCCGACAGCTGCCAGACCAGACAAGCCGGTCCCATTGTTGGTTCCACCGACTGCGGGAGCCGAGGTAGGGCTCGGGGCAGCGCCCGACGCCACGACAGAAGACGATGGGGGAGCTACATCTCCATCCGCGGAGGCCGCCTGAGAGGAAGCCGAGGGAGCAGGAGCACCCTGCACTGCGCTTGACTGAAGGGACGCCGAAGGAAGGGGATTACCGCTGCCACCGATGGCAGTGGCCGAGCCGGAGGAGGCGCCAGGAGGGGAAGCAGCAGCACTGCTGCTAGAGGGAGCAGCGCCGGTACTGTCGGCGGACACAGCAGCCGAGGAAGCAGGACCGTTTGCCACTGAGCCAACAGCCAGCGAGGAAGAAGCAGACTGCGCTTGAGAATTGTTGTCTTGACGCTTGTCGAGTCGGTTGGGGGCAGCAGTGACCACGCTGGCCAAGGCCACGAAGTGGATGAGGGGGAGGATCATTGTTCGTCGTCCGAAGAACTGAGAGTCAAGATCCTTGTCGCTTGGTCTGTCAAAGTGCCGCAATGCAACCTCTTATATATCGTGCGAGTCGGCGGCAACGACAACGATGTATCGACCCATCTTGAGCCATTATCCTCGCAGTCCCGACAGCAGCCTGGCCTGCCAACGTCGCTTTCAGCGCTGCCGCTGTGAACTCTATCCGTCATCGCCTTCGTGCGCAGATCCCCGCCTGGAAAGTGCGCTCGAGGACGGCGTTGAAGCCGAGATTGCGAGGTCTCAACGCTTCGCGATACCAAACAACACCATTTCGTGCATGCCGTCCGGAAGCAAGCGACCGGAAGCGATCGACCGCCAGCGGGGGTGCCTCATGTGGATGACATCACGTCCGGGATGACTCTCTCATCGCGACAGCCTGGGCACATGACCTGCATTGAAGCTGTGTAGAGTGAAACAAGGTTTGCGAGTGCAGCAGACTCGTGAAAGGGTGAACGGCGAACGCGTCTGCGAGCCATGGTATGCCCAAGTGAACCCGGCCAAAGTTTACAGCTGTGGCTCTCAGCTGGATTATCATCCGGGCCGTATCAATGGTATGGGCAGAGTCAACGGGAGAGGGACAATTTTGCAACTTGGGAGGCACCCTTGCCTCAGGCCGGTGCCTTGTGGCTCTCACAGGAATGAAACGGTGGTCGTTGCCGTCATCGATACCCGACATGAGCGAGATCACATAATTATTAATGAGCAGCCGTAGGGAGCTGGGCCAGACCGGTGGTACGCTCTCGACATCGACGGGACAGAGCTATACACCGCCGAGGGGAAAGAGTGGGTTCAGATGCCCTCTGATCCGAAATCCGCAAGCGTCGACAGTTCACGATGAGGTTCTGGCAACAAGCGGCCAACGGAGAGCCTATCAGGCCCAGAGCAGCGGTCAAAGGGTGTACCAGATTATCGAATGGGGCTGAACTGCGCTACCAAAGCTCAGGAAGAGCCGGAACCACTGCAGAATGGCCGAGCGGGGCGAAGGCACACGAGTGACGGTCATGGCACCTCTACACCTTGCTTTAGGCTCCCCCACAACTGTGCACCCAACCTGACGGCTTCGCAGTACGACTTGCCCGATGTCTCTGAAAGATATGCGAGGCGATGTAGCGACGAGTTGCTCAGTGTTTGACCGACACAGCTGGCCGTAGTTGGGGCGGCTCCCGAGGTGGGGACGGCCAGGGTGTTCGGTCTCCTTCTTGGGACGAGGACGAGCTCGCTGACTTCAGAGAACGACAAGCCCGCGGAATATTCGCGCGCTACTGTTCTTTCTGTGTGGGATTTTGGTTGATTCCGATTCCAGAGAGCAACGAGACGAGTCAATTGAACTAGCTGAACTCTCCATATCGTTTCACACCGGATTGCAGGAGACGGATTGCCTGAACCGGGTTCTTGGACCGAGGAGGTGTTACACGATACGGTACCCGTCCTCGGCATCCAACTTGCGCAAGTGCTCACGTGCAGATTGCCCGAAGAGTCAATTGTCGCACACGAGCCGAGGCGCAAGTACACGGGGAGGAGCAATGCTGCAAGTCGATGGCAACGGGGTGGTCATTTTCAGGTCCATGCCGAACTCGGGAGGCTCCAGAAGTGCGTACGCCTGTCCCCAGCCCAGGTCGAGGGTGCCTTGAGGGACGTTGGGCACGACTCGGCTGCGCCTCCATAAACCGGCGAGCCGGGTCCGCGTCCGCAACGTTCCTTGGGAACCGGCGTGATTATGGATGCCCGCTACATAGATATGGTTGAGTGCAGGCCAGACTTGCTGAGTCGAGGATGATCAGTCACATAGGGTTTCGGGTCCTGTTCTTCTTAGATAGCGCATTCGTACTCGACTCCAGAGTCGGCTCCACGGACCGCGTCCAGGATACAGCAAGCTCACCATCAAGCTCAGTTGGGCAAGCAAGGTGAGCTGGCATGATTGTGAGAGCCAGACGCGACTCTCATGCCCACCGGCATTCAAACTCCACTCAGGTTCTGCTTACGAGAAGGTGAGGACAGCAGACCGCAGTACCTCTCCCGGAGCAGTGCGTCTGGCAAACCTTAACGCACAACTGCGATCCAGCAGTCGGTCTCGCCTCGGGCGCATCCTTGATGCGAAACAAGTGGTCAACAAATACATCATAGCGTCGTACATAGTCTACTGCACTTCAGTGAAATTCCGCTTTCGAACCCCGCTGGGACGTCGCAGCCCCTTCATCAAACAGAGCGCCACCTGAGAAACTGTTAGCGCAGTGCCCTGCAAGGTATCCAAGGCAACTGAGAACCTGCGGCGTCCGGTATCGCCTGGCATCCGCGCTCGAATGAGTGCAGCAGTGATCCCTCGGATCCGCCGGATATACTGGCGTCCCGTGAGGGAGGAAGCATCCGCATGCCAAATGACATGCCGACCGATCCCGGAATGTAATGCTGGAATCCGTCTAATCACTCACTTGAGGTGCGACTCGTAAAACTTAAGCATCTTCTGGGGGCAGCGTTTGTTGACGAGCTCGCTCGACACCGCCGATTTCTCTCCAGAAACCCTGTACGTCAGCACACCATTAAGGCCGTATCTTTAGACACTCGGAGCCGGCGAGTCTGCAAGGAAGGTCACGGGGAGGCACGAGGGGTTATGGGCGAGGCTTAGGTGTACGATGAAGGCACACAGGGATGCCCTGTCGTTAAATCACTCTCCGCAATCCCCACGGGGAGGGCAGTTGATGACCAGGCTGTAACAGGACCTGGACTCAAGAGATTGAGTTGCAGGTCACCACTGTGTTCCTCGCGGTCGATCGTGGTTGCTCCCCGACCAGATGTTCTGCCAGACATCCACAACAGGCAGCGGATCATGTCATGAGCCGCACAACACGGCGCAGTGTCCTTGCCCATTCACCGTCCCAAGTGGGCAACCAGATATTTGACGAAGTCCCGGCTCGCAAGCGAACGGTACCCGGCGGTCTGAGCTTCGCCGCAGCGATGCGGCGTCGGAACGACTACGCAAAGCTCCATCGTCAACCTCCATGTGCAGGGCCAGAGCATGCACAGGTGAGGCTGTGTTGGGTACAACCTCTCCAGACCAGCAACCAAGCTCTCGTGGCGAAGAGGGATAGCGCCTCGTTGCCACTCTCGACCATGCCTGTCACTTTGGCACGAGCCGTGAGGCAAAGGCGCCAGGAAGTAGCCTTTATGGCATGACCAAGCTATCACTTGAACCTTGGTTGTGCGAGGCTCACTTCGAGACCAGGTGCCCCATCAACCTCTTCCTACGTCCAACTCGAAGTCCCACTTCCCCAAGACACTACCCGTCTTCCGCACTCTCCCAGGCATCTTCTCGCCACCCCGCCAGCAATATGCACACTCACATGGTAAGGTAGACGATGAGCGAGTTCTCCGAGTTGCGCTCGACCGTATCGATGCTCTCGACGACCTTCTCCCAGTCCTTGACATCGTCGTACCGGCCGATGCCATCGGTGTACGTTTGCTCGTACTCGATGTTGGTCTCGTCTTCGCTCTCGGGGGGAGAGTCCTGTCGCACGGCAGCCTGGGAGGCGCGGGACGCGCGCGGCTTCTTTGGCGTCGGTGCTGCCGCAGAGGACGCCTTCGAGGGGCGTCCGCGCTTCTTCACGGGCGGGTCGTCCCGCTTCGCCTTGGACTCGGGGTGCTCGGCGAAGTACGCGTCGATCAGCTCCTGAGCATGCTCGCTGCGGGTTAGCTGCCAGACGACATCCTAAAGCTGGCAGGGATTGTTTACGCACACATTCTCCTTGGGCTCCCACGTGTTGTGTTCACTTCCGTAGCCCTTCCAAGCGACCAGGTCTGTGGTTAGTCTCACATCAGCGCCATCCGCTCACAGTACTCCTTCCCTCGCTGTGTTTTGTCAGCTTCGTTTCGGATCAACCACTCCAGCTGCCGTCCACTTCCGCAACCCATCACGGCTCTGATGCCAAACCTGTGGCTGGGCGCGCCGACATGAGCCAAACGTTTCCGATATTGCATCGGGACACTGCAATTCCCGCATCCAGGTCCAAACACCCGCAACCACTCCCAGCTATTGGAGAAGCTCGATTGAACGCTATCTGCGGGGTCGGTCTGATCTTGCAAGCACCCCGCATACCTGCATGGACGCTCCTGGGCACCAAAACTCACCTCCCACTTGAATCCGGTAATGCTCTCGACCTCGTACTCCTCCTCCCCCTCGCTACCGTCAACGTCGATGATGTCTTCCTCCTTGTCGCGCGACATTGTTGGGGATGCTGAGTTGGATTCCTTTTCGGTCGATGCGGAGAGATCGGTAGAGAGCTCAGCTCGTCGTTCTTGTGTTGATCTGCAACTGACGTCGTTGAGGCCGAGATATCAGTTTGCTTCCGCTCCGCACTTCGGGAGCCACGTGACTGTAATGAACTCTCGGTGCGCGCGTCCGTTCATTGTTTGTGTGCTCATGGCAACGGACGGAATGCATATGCTGCTGTCTATGAACTAAATGACACCCTCGCCACCCTTCCTCGAGCCCTTCTTGTACGGGTTGACGTCCGGGTCGCCGATCGGACCCTTCTGGCTCCGCGTCACTCGTCGGGGTGTGTCCGGCGCTGGCGCAGATGCAGGGGCCTGCCTCACGCCACCGGACCGGATTGCCGGTGGAGGTGGCGGCGGCAAGAGGTCGGCAGAAGTCCACTGAGCACTGCTGGGATGCGCAAGGAATGGCGCCGGCTCACGCGCAGGAACCGGGGCAGGGACAGGGGTAGGAGCGAAGGATGACGGCGCCGGTGACTGCGGAGGCGGTGACAGCGGTGCCTTGGCGGCAACGGGCGAGTGGCTGGGCGCCGGAACCGGGGGCGACTGAGGCGAAGTCAGCGGGGGCGATGCGACATGCACCGGCGGGCTCGTCGGTGGCGACAGGTTGACATTCTGCAGCTGAGTCGAGAGACTGGCGTTAGTTGAAGAGACAAACGCGTAGCTTACCCAACATCCACCCTGCGGGCGTTGAGGAACTGAGAGCACGCCTCCTTGAACCCGTGCAGCATGTCGGCGAGCGAGTTGTAGAACTTGATGCCCTCCTCGGCATTGTCGACAATCTCGCGCCACTTCCAGTACGCGACATCCATGTCCTGGAGTCGTCGCTCGCGCTCCTTGACGCGCGGGTCCTCCTTGCGCTCCGAAAGGAAGGCGTTGTTCTGCTGCCGGATCTGCTCCAGCAGCTGCTCCTGCGTTGATGTTTCGTCCGACATGGAGTCACGGAGTTTGTCATACCTAGAAAGGGACTCCTCGAAAATGCCCTCGAACCACTCGGGCTTAACGTCGCCCGAGCCTCCATGAGCAAGTTTGGAAGCCTCCTGCAGAACCTGCGGCCGGACATCGTCGTGCTCAGCGATTTGCCGGGCTTCAGAGACAAGCGCAGCGCGGTGGGCGATGTGGTCGTCCAGGTCCTCGAGCGAGGCTCGCAGCGGCCTAACGGACGCGGGGAGTGCAGAGAATCCGGCACCCGACGAGGTAGTCGAAGGCACGTGGTCAGAGATGATGTCCTGGTGGTCAGTTCACATATGCTACACACAACTCACCTCTCCTCCCGACAGAATCTCAATCATGTTCCGCCACTCCTCCCACTTCGAGCGGACAGTGGCATCACTCTGCGCGGCCTGCTTCAGGGTGCCATCATATTGGCCCGCCATCTGGATCAGGCTCGCATTGGCAACATGCGAGGGGGGTCGAGTCTCCGCAACATGGGGCTGGCGCTCGACAAGCTGCTCGGTCTCGTGCGCCTCCTGGTCGAGGATGTCCATTGCCTGCTGTCAGCTATCGAACTGCAATCGCCAACTTACCTCGGATAGGATCTTGGCGTTCGACTTGGACAGCCTGTTGACGTCCATGAGGAGACTGCGGATCTTGTCAGCACCACCGGCGGCGTCAACTTCCTCCGCCTTCTTGAGGAGGGACGGAGGAAGGCCAACGGGGCGTTCCAGAGCCTGCAGCGAGCCGGGCAGGTTGAGAGACTGGAGTGTGCTGTTTGGTCAGCTCATCTTCAAGGCGGTACACCAACCTCGCAGCGATACCATCAAGCTCCTCGCGCTTGCCGTCCATGTCGCGGATAAGCGTGTCCTTGCGGTCGTCGTAGATACCTGAGGTCAGCTACAACAGTCTGGTCCTGGAAGCACTCACTCAACGCAAGGTGGACGCCATACGGTACGAGTCCCGAGAAGAGTGGCGCCGAACCCGATCCACCGCTCATGAGCCAGGCGATGGGCTCAGCCACCTCAGTGGGAGTCTGGAGCTTGACCATGCCGACGCCGTTGATGGGCGGGAGCTGCGCGGGAGTGGGCACAGCCTGGCAGTAGATCATGAGGTTGTCGCGGTCGGCGCTCTCGAGCGTCGACTTGACGACACCCTGGAGCTGCTTCAGGTCCGACATGACGTTGTCACTGACACCCTTCCGGCCGGCATCCAGACCCTTCTTCGCCAGCGTCTCCGCCACACGCAGACGACCAATCTCCTCGCCATACTTTGCCTTCTCGTTGTCGTCTCGACTGAGGCGGTACTGCGCCGCAGCCTCGAAGTGACACTGCTTCACCGTGATGTGGTTGATCCAAGACTGACGTCAGCTCCAATGCACGGCTCAAAGAGCTCACTTGCGGAAGGTAGGATGCACACGGGAAGTCGAGACCGTTGGCGGCAGCCAGAGCAGACTTGTAGTAGTCCGACACCTGTCACGTCAGCTCCAGCTGCTAATTTCGACAGCTCACCTTCATGGAAAGCTTGGCGATCAGTCCGTTCTTGTACGTTCCCTCTGCTTGTCAGTTCAGGTGATCCGTCACGCCAACTCACGCAGCACAGCCTGCTGCCAGTAGCACTCCTGCGCCTGAGCGAGGACAAAGTCACGCATGGCAGTGAGGAAGGACTCGCTCATGTCGTATCCCGCAGCCTGCGGGGAGGCGAGCTCGCCCTTGAGCGTCGGGAGGATGTTGGTCAGGATGTGGTTCAGGATACCAGCAGCGGTCTGCCGTTAGCTACCAGTCGCCCCCCAGCTAGACATACAGTGAGATACCCAAGAGCCCGCTTGATGCTCTCCGCCTCTGCGCGGCGCTCAAACGCCGCGAGCGAGGCATAGATGGCGGCGGCGTTGAAGAGCACGCCCGCCCTCTCGTACGTCAGCGACGGAAGCGAGATTGGTGCGTCCGGCGTCAGGCTGTAAGGCGGAGGGAAGGGGAGCGAGTAAGTGAACTGCTGCCCGATATCGGAGGGAAACTTCGTCGCAGCAAAGGCGAGCTGGGCGTGGTACCTGGTTGTCAGCTCTTGCTTAACACATCCGCAGCTGCGACCGGTGACTGCGCCGCTACGTCTGGCGTGAACGACTCACTTCATGAGACCCCGTGCGACCTCGGGATGGGCCTCACTCTTCGGCTCGACCCACTCCTTGCGCATACCGACGAGCGAGCCGACATCCCGCTTGAACGCCTCGGGGTGGGCATCGCGGAAGTGCGACGAGATGTAGTCGAGCAGATGCTGGCTGAGCTCCGGCAGTGGCGTTGCCTGTTTGCTCGGAATAGGCAAGAAATTTGTCGCCTAGACATTAGCTCTATGCTCTCCTTGCCCATCATTCTCCCTGCTCCTTTGACTGGACTTACCATGAGTACAACTAGATTTCGTGGTTGGGAGAGAAGGAGGAAGAAGGTGTCAACAGTGGACAGTCAGCTGGGGGCCCAGGACCCTGCCCGCCTGGTGCGATGATGCAACCGTGCGGAGATCTTTCCATCTCCGCACCCACCGAACTTCGTCAACAACACCAACCTTCCTGTGCCCCTTCCTCCTTCTCTCCCAAACGACAATGTCGCAGTCCCCGCTCGCGCGCAAGTCGCGCAAGTCGCTGACAGCGTTTGCGCGCCCGCCGTCAAAACTCTCCCGTTCCCAAACCGCAGACCAGCCCTACGCCGAGGCCGACACCTTCTCGCCGGGCAAGCACAACAGTCCCGTGAAATCGTCATCGTCATCGGCGTCGGTGGCAACTACGACTTCAACTTCGACGGGAACGTCGCCGAGCCATTCTACGCCGACGCAACAGAATGCCTTTGCGACCCCGCCGCGCAAGAGGGCCAGCGAGGGCGGACCATGGGACAGCCCAACGCCGTACTACGCCACTCCCATTCGGGGACTGACGAACCGCCGCGTCTCCGTCTTCTCGCCAGGCACGTACACCCCGCCATATGCTGGAGTGCGGCCTGCGGAGCGGCGCACGAGCTACGGGAGTAACCTCGGCACACCCCTCCCTGGCACGCCTGTGGCGGGGACGCCAGGCGGGTCGCCAACGGGCACGCCGCGCGCGACGGGCACGAGGAAGCGCTTCGTGAGGCGCAAGGGCGTGTTCCAGCGGTATGTCTTCCCTCCCTCCCCTTCCTCCCTCGACCTCCCCCTTAACACTCCCCGAGATCAAGCTGACAACCAGAATCGTGGAGGCACCCCGCAACGCGCTCGAGTACGTGTGGATCTCGCTCCCGACCAGTGTCGAGGACATTCTCCCGCCGACACGCTGGGCCGCGCCGCTCGGCATGGCGCTCTTCCTCCTGCAGTGGGTGCTGCTCGCACCCGTCGTCAAGCCAAGGGACGAAATGAGCATGTGGCGCGATGGGCCCGAGGGCAACCGTGTCGACGCGCGTTGGCATCGCTACGAGGACGAGTGGCGGCAGCAGCAGGCGCGGCGCGGCATACTGGGCACGAGCAGCGTGAGTTGAGAATTCCATTGCAAACTGACAGCCCCAGGGTATCCTCATCACGCTCCTCATGCTCATCATCTCGGGCGCGAACGCCGCATACCTCTTCACAAAGCATAGGAACTACGACATGATGCTGCGTAGTGTGAGCTTGCCCCTTCGTTGACTGCAGCTGACAACCCCAGCCTCAGGACCCCGTCAAGTCGCCCAACGCCAGTCCGATTCCCTCGCCCATGAAAGACAGGAGCACGGCGACAGAGCCCGAGGACTCTGACGCCGATGACGGCGAGGAGGGAGAGAAACGCGCCGCGCCCAAGATCGACGGTAGAGTCGTCGCCCGCACAGCATGGAAGGTGACCAAGGTCCTTGGGCGGGTGGCGTGGCGCTCCGTCGCGTCCATTGCCGGCTTTGAGGCGCCCACTCGTCCGCGCGGAGGCGGGGATATGATCGAGCGGCTGAGGATCTGGGACCCGCCTTCTTTCTGCCTCGCCTTCTTCTGGTAAGCTGTCAGGTTTTGGAGGGATAGCTGACACTCAGTGCGCTCCCGCCCACAGCCCCGCTTATGGTGTACTTCCTCACAGGACGCGTGCCGCTGCTCGTCCCCCTCGTGCACCTCGCGTACTATGTCGTGCTGCACCAGCTTGCGACGAGCTTTACGCAGATGGTCAAGGACCGCCAGATCCTCAATGCCGAGGTCATGCGCGAGTACGACCAGCGCTTCGTGTTCAAGAAGCTCTTTGTGCCCACCGAGGACCGCGGGGTCGGCACGAGCGACTACGCTATCGATTACTATTAGTGATAGTAGATTTTAGTCTTTCCTTTAACCCCATCATCATTGCAACACCCCCCATCATTCACCTCTGTGGCCATATCACTATGTACATCGTACATTTCATTACTTGCTCGTAACTGGAGTCTACTACTTGATGTGAAGCGAGATTTACTGACGGGGCACGCGCTCACGCCAAATGTGGGGGACTCGCAATCTTCCAGACAACAGACTTTCGCAACAGATGCTTTATGTGGGTGTGTGTGAGAGTGAGAGCGAGAAGAGAGAAAGAGAAATAAAAAGAAAAGAAACACAGTAGTAGAGTCGATATTGATGCTTTTCGGAACGCAAGATGATTGATTGTAATGCTTTGGGGCGTGCGTGGGGCAGACTTAGACTTAGGCGGTCACAGTCGAGTAGGGGTTGCACGCGTACACGACGAGGACAGGGGGGCTCTTGGACATGTCCGCCGTGATGATGACAGGAAGCGAGGACAGCTCCTTGATGTCCTGGATGCGGTGGCCGCTGGGCGTCTCGCGCAGACCCTCAAAGACGAGGGGCGACTGCGACGCAGACTTCTGGTACTGCACAGAGTTACCAGCAGGGACATCGTCCTGGAACAGGGCGGAGGCATCGGCAGCCTGCGACGTCGCCGCACCCGTGACCTTGCCCTCGACGCGCTGCTTGATCTTGCGCAGATGCTCGTCCTCCGAGGACTGGGTGAGGAAGGACAGGACGTCCTGGGTCGTCCAGTAGAGGGAGAGAATGTTCTTGTGCTCGTCAAACACCGAGTTCTCGAGAGGGAGCTTGTCGAGGTGCACACGCTTCTCGAGGCCAAACTCGGGGACGACAACGTCAAACGCCTGGTCGTAGACGGCAGTGACGCGGGCGTGACGGAGCACGGGACCGTAGCGGCTCGACAGGTCGCTGATGAGCATGCTTAAGTAGAGGTGGCGCGACTGGTCCTCGGCGAGCTTGCCGCTGGCACGCTTCATGTTACAATGCTGGGCGCACTTGGCGATCTGGTCGCGGTCCATGTGGAACTTGACGTCGGTCGGCGAGGGGCTCGAGAGACACGAGTCGAGCATGCGATGGACAAGGACGTCGGCGTAGCGGCGGATAGGCGAGGTGAAGTGGCCGTAGAGGGGCAGGTTGAGCGCCCAGTGGGCGTACTTTGCGATATCGAGCATACCCGTGCAGTAGTAGCGCGCCGTCTGCATGGTCTTCCTCTTGTACATCTCGAGGCAGTAGACGGCCTCCTTGTCGTCAATCTTGTCGAACGACTGCTGGATCGTGCCGGCGTTGGTGGCATCAATGTCGTAGCCGAGGAGCTTGGCGCGCTTGACGAACGCCTCGATACGGCGCTCGAGAGGAGGCTCGTGGCGACGGAGCAGCGCCTGTTCAGGCAGACCGTTCGCGATGATAGCAGCGACGGAAGCGTTGGTGAGGAGCATGAACTCCTCGACGAGGGTGTTAGCCTCGGTCTTGGACGAGACATTGCAGTCAATGGGGTTGCCCTCGGCGTCGAGCTCGAACGAGAGACGTGGCCGGTTGACGAGCATAGCACCGCCCTCGATGCGCTTGCTGCGAAGCTTGGCGGCAAGCTCGTGAAGGGCGAGAACGTTGGCCTTGATCTCCTCGGGCTTGTGGTGGCCGTGGATCTTCTCGGCATCGATAGCACCGTCCTTGATGATCTTGTTCGCGTCCTCGTAGGTAAGCTTGACGGAGGACTTGATGACGGTGCGACGGAACTGCTTGTCGAGGACGTTACCCTCCTTGTCAATGACAAAGGTGGCCGAGAAGGCGAGACGGTCCTGACCGGGGAGCAGGCTGCAGAGCTCCTCGCCGAGAAGGGGAGGGAGCATGGGCACGGCGCGCTGGACGAGGTAAACAGAGGTAGCGCGCTTGCGGGCGTCACGGTCGAGGGCCGTGTTGACCTTGACGAAGTACGAAACGTCGGCAATGTGGACACCAACCGAGTAGGTGCCATCGTCGTTGGTCTTGATGGAGAGGGCATCGTCGAGGTCGCGGGCTCCAGACGGGTCGATGGTGAAGGAGCACTCGTCACGGAGGTCCTCGCGGATCTCGAGCTCGCGCTCGGGAATAGTCCAAGGCTGGGGAGGAAGGCACTTGAGCGCGACGTCGGCAAACTCCTCGGTGGGGAAGTTGCAGTCCTTGAGGATCGCGCTCGACTCAACCTCGCAGTCGCCGATGGGGCCGAGCTCCTCGATAAGGGTACCGAAGGGGTGGAGAGAGGTGATCGGCCAGCGCTTGATGGTCGCAACGAAGAGCTTGTTGGCGTGGGCTTCAGGGTTCTCGATAAAGTCGGCGGGGGCCTGCTCCGTGGGAATGGCGATCAGGGGAACACGCTTGTCAGTCGGCTTGAACCAGACGATCTTCGGGCGAGGCTCAGGCTCGGCGGGGGCAGCACGAGCCTTGTCGCCCTCCCGCTCACGACGCTCAGCCTCCTGCTTCTCCTTGGTCGCGGCCGAGGAAGGACGGAGAACACCGAGCTGACCCGAGAAGAGCTGGCCGGGCATGCGCTCGACGACGGCAACAACGTGACCAGCGTAGGTGGGCTTGGTGTCGTCGTTGACCTCCTCGTCCTCGAACAGGGACAGACCCTGACCCTCGACCTCGATGTCGTCCTTCTTCTTTTCCTGCTTCTTGTTACCGTGGGGTTTGTAGTCGTAAGACTCCTCCTTCTTGCGCTTCTTCTCCTCCTTGTCCTTCTTCGTGCTCCAGACCTCATCAACGTCGAGTAGCTCAACGGCGACGATGTCACCCTCGAGGGCACGATTACGGTCCTTGGAACCACAAATGTAGATGTCGGCGTCGAGCACGTCGGTCGCGACGTAAGCGTCGGAACGGTTCTTCTTGTTGACACGGAGGATACCGACGACGAGCTTTCCGGCGGAGAGAAGGGGAGGAAGAGAGGCCTGGGGCAGGTACGGCGCGAATAAGGACTTGCGCTGGGGACCGCCGCCACCCTGCTGGTTCTGCTGCAGCTGCATCTGGAACGCCTGCTGCTGCTGCCACAGCGAGGACTGGCCCGACGGGTTCTGAAGCGTCGTCGCGACGAGGAGGTTGGGGAGCATGTTAGGGAAGCTGAAGGAGGGCATCTTGGCGTGTCCACTGCCGGCGGCCGCGCGGAACTGGGCAAGAGATGCAAGCTGTGCCTGGGCAGAAGCCAGGTCGGTCGTCGACGAACCGTTACCGTTAATACGCCAGTTGCCGGACTCGAAGCCTGCACGAGAGCCACCGCGGTTGTGGCCAAAGCTGATGGAACCACCGTCCTCGACGTACTCGCCAAAGCCGCCCTTGTACGTGTTCACACTATGACGACGGCCGTGGCCCATCGAGATGGACTGAGGACGGCCGCCCGACACGGGCGAAGGCTCACCACCGAACGAGCGGACGATCGAGGGCTGCTCACGGGGGCTGAGGAGGTTGCCATAGGTGGAGTCGCCGCCCGCAGCCGACGACTGCGACGCGTTGGAGTGCGTACGGCGGTGACGACCACCGGGCTGCTTGCTGAGAGACGCCGAAAGCTCGGAGAGGGGAGGAGACTGGCTGTCGCCGCGGTCCTGGTTCATGAGAGCCTTCTGTTTGGCCTGGAGCGCCTCGATCTGCTTCTGGAGCTCAAGCTGGGACGCGTCAGCCACAAAAGGAAGCTTTCGGAAACTCACCTGCTCCTCGAGAGCCGACGACATCTCGCTGCCAGCGCGCTTGTGGGCCCGTGCAGCCAGGCCGGCAAGACTGGTAGCCGCCTCCTCGCGATTGACGAACATTGACGATGGGCGGGGCTTCTTCTCGACAGCGCTCTCCCTCCGCTTGCCGAATGTAAAGCCAGGGTTCAGCTGCGGGCGACCGGTAGGACCCAGACTGGCTGGCGTAGGCTCGGGCGAGTCTTCCTCGAACACGGGGGGCGCACCACCAGCGTCGACCTGCTGCTGGGCGAGGAGCATCTGCTGCTGCTGCTGGTGCATCTCAAAGAGGCGCTGAGCCTCGGCGAGCTGAGCAGTCTGCTGCTGCTGCTGCTGAACCGCAGCACGCTGGGCGGCAAGGGCCTGGAAGCGGGGGGCGATGAAACCCTGGTCGCGCTGCTGCTGCGCCGCGAGCTGCTGCTGGACGAGCTGCGCCTGCAGGAGCTGGAGCTGGAGCTGCTGAGCAGCAAGCATCTGCTGCTGCTGCTGGAACATGTCGCCGCCGAAGTCGTCGCCGCCGGGCTGGCCGGTGCCGGGGAAGTCGGAGGGGGCGAGGGGGAAGTGGGGAAGGCCGCCGAAGCTCATGGAGGGCTGACCAAAGCTGACCGACATGTTGGCGGACTGACGCCTGGCAGCGCGTTCAGCGGCAGACGTAGAGGAGCGAGGAGCAGAACCAACGCTACTGATACTGGGCGCAGAAGGGGAAATGGGGGACGTGCCAGACGCGAAAGAGCCGGGAGTAAAGGTCGGGGCGTCTGCCTTGAGTTTGGTCTGAGACTCGGCCTTGCTGCCGGCCGCAGTGGGAATGGTGACGGGCGACGAGGCGGCTGTTGATGACTTGTCCTTCTGGCTGCCGCTGGCCGAGCGGGAGCCCGGCTGCGAGTTGCTTGGGGAGATTGCCTTGAGATCCGAGATCATGCGCTGCAACGAGCTCAGCGCATCCTCGCCGTGAGTTTCATGATGTTTCTTAGTCGCCGCATTCACCGCCGCCTCCATCGCAGTGACCGCAGGTGACATGGTGGTGTGGATAGAACGAACCTGGGCGTCGGCAGCAGCTGCCTGAGAAGAAGACTGGGTTGCAGTTCCTCCTGATTCCTTGCTGTCCTTGCTGTCCTTGCTGTCCTTGCTGTCCTTGCTGTCCTTGTCCGCGTTGGACGAGGCTGGGCGTAAGGGGGTCTGTTGAGGCTGGATCTGCTGGCTCTGACCACGGGTCGACGACCTTCGGTGCAACGAGCGCGAGTCGGCTCTTTGGAGCTTGCCCTTCTGGCCACCACCGCCCTCCTTGGACGACTTGCCTCCGCCTAAGCTGGTTCCTCCGCTGATAGTGGTGGTGTTGCCATTCTTAGAGCGACGTTCACCAGGGCCCTGCGATGAGTAAGAGTTGCTTCGCGAGACCGAAGCCGAGGTGCCGGGGGACCTGTGGCCACGGCGGCCGCCGTTGACGAGTTGGCGCGTGAGAGTTTAGCGTCGGGTGGCGCAAGCGAGGACTGGCGGCTCGGCTGCTGTGCCGCCGACGAGTCCGGGGTCTCAGCCATGGAGGAGACGGAAACGGGTTGCGCAAGAATGGACTGAGATTAAAAAGCTGGGTAGACGGGTCAGTACGTTGTCGATAGGGGATAGGTGGTTGAGATGGAAGGGCGACACAAGGGCCGAGGGAGGACGGTGGTGCTCGGACCGTGTAAGGGGGTGGAGGAGATGGAGGACAGGCGGCGAACCGGGAGGCTATAGCGGGAGCCGAAAGCGGTAGAACGGTGGGGGTCGGACGAGTGTGCTGTGTGTGTAGTGTGCGTGGACAGTGACAAACAAGCAGAGTGTGGACGAGTTGATGATGAGTGACGGGGACGAGGTGCGAACAAGGTTTCGGTTACCGTATTACGTTGTTGCTGGGTCGCGGGGATGGTAGTGGTGGTGGGGGTGTGGGTGCGGTGCGGGGGAGTGTGCTGGTGCTGCGAGACGAGGAAGCGACAACTACTAACCTTGGAAGATGAGGGCACCGCCACGGCCACGGCGGGCTATGTGGTGTAAACGATGAAAGTAGAAGGGAGGGTAGGGGAGAGAGTGACTAAATGGTGTGCGAATGAAGGTGGGGGTGTGTGTGTGTCGTGTTGTCGATGCGATGGAGAGAGAGAGAGAGGAAGGAGAGGGACGAGGAGGGATGGAGGATGGAGGAAGGCGGTCCTGGCGGTGCGGGGCAGGTGGCCAGGTGGTGGATGGGTGGACTGGCGTGTACGGTTGACGCCGTGGCTCTGGGTGGGTTGAAGCAGGTTGACTCCGTCGTCCCTCCCAGGTACGAGGTCGGCTTGGCTGTTGGCCTGGTGGCCTATGGAATGGACATCCCAGTGCTGATCCATAGAATAGCGCCAGGCTGTCCATTACCCCGTATACCCAGCCGGTTAACACCCAAATACTCTACGCGCACGACCTGTGCTATGACGCGCGCCCCCGCGCCAACGCCCAGCGCCCGTGGCCCAGTAGCCCCTACTACTGGGCCATCTGAGCCGCTGCTGAGCTGCTGAGCCCCTAGGTAAAGCCCTTACGCTGCCGCCGTTGTCCTGACTGGGCCTGACTGGGCCTGACGCGCCTGACTGACGTCCGCCCTCACCCAGGCGGCCAGCAGCAGCCACGTCATTCCATTCCTCGCCCTAATGCATCCGGGCCTGCGATTCCAGCACCCAAAGAGCTGATCAGCTGAGAAAGCGCATTGAAATGTCCACCTCGGCTGGGCTGAGACTCACACAATTGGAATCTCAGTCTGACAGTTCGCATGACCTGTTGCCCACATTGCGTGCATGCATGCATCATGCATCATGCACAGCAGTTCTGGCCCTTTCGATAGCGAGCAAGTGAGGAGGGGAGGAATAAAGATCCATAAACCACGGAGCGAATACAAAGCCCCGTAATAACAAATGGCCATCGCAAACTCTATTGCCTCGATCGTAAATACAATCCTCCCACTTGCCTTTCTAATGCCCTAAGGACCGCGGAGGGAAGACACAAGGGACAATGCATGGCCTGACCAGAGTCCTGACGGTACTGATGGTCCGTGTCGCATGCATTGGGTGCGCACAGAGCGTCTAACCGAGACAGATTGCTTCTTCTGGCAGGCATGGCAAGTCGACCCCATCCGTGCCCTGCATGCCCTGTCAGGAGTAAGTCCTTCTGCCAGGTCCAGTCAAGACGCGATTGACTTTACGGGAACACCTTGCCTCTGTCCCTCAACGACCTAGCGATCACTGCTGCTTGCGCTTCTTACTCCATGGACAGTAGTCAAGAGAGAATATGCTGCGTGTATCATGTATCATGTGTCACCGTTATCGCTATCTGGTTATTCTTTGCTGTTCTGCTGCAAGGGGTTATCAGTGACGTTACGTTCTTCCACCCTTCGCCGCATTCGTTTCTGCATCGAGACTTGATTTGGCCTGGCATCACCTTTATCGCAACCGAGTAAGCAGCCTGCACCTGGCGCCCCTGGCCGTGCAAAGATCACCATGTTGTCCGGCACAGGGCGTTCCCTCTCATACTCGCTCGCTCTCGTCGCTCGCAGCGCTATACGAAACCCGGATCCATGCGCTCTATGAAAGTTTGCTAGTCATTTAATACAGTGGTTCTATAACGTCGTGTCTGAACGGGTGCTATTCTACGTCGAGAACACGCCGAGCATGCGGAACGGCGGGCTCTTGGCACCATGCTTCGTGCCCTGCATGACGCACTCGACATAGTGGCTGCCGGCCTCGACGTTGTCGTTGATGTTCGTAATGGTCGTGACCGTATCCTCGACGTTGGCGTTGCCGCTGAGCTCGACGCGGTTCGCATAGTCGTCGTCGACCCAGCACGCCACACGGCCCGCGGGCACGCTGTGGGGGTACTGGTAGTAATAGATCGCGACTTCGCCCGCCGAGGCATTGAAGGGGAGGCGCATGTTGGCGCCCACCGTCTCGGACTGCCAGTAGTTCTCCTCACCCTCGATCGAGACCTTGTGCTCGGCTGTCCAGCCGTGGCCGTAGAAGTGGCACGGGGGAAGAGGGTTGATAAGCGGGTTCGCCATGTTGCACGAAGGGCTGACTTCGCGGAACGTCAGGATGTCGCTGGGGCGAGAGTGCAGGCGTGCCTTCGGGACACGGAGGGCACGACGCTGAGCGGCAACGCCTCCCGCCTGCACATCGAGATCGACGTCCGACTCAGGCGCAGAGGCAGCCTGGGCTCCCATGTACGGCACGTCAAAGGCGTGGCCCATCGTCGTGCTCCAGCCGGAGCAAATCTGCGTCTGCATGAACGAGATGAGAAGGTCGGACATGAGGTCGTGGCCCGTGGGCGAGGCGAGCACCATGTCCGAGTAGTAGCTTCGTCGAGTGCCTTCGGGGTCAAGCATGTACTCGTGGTACAGCGTGCCCTTGGCGCTGATGTGGGGGACGTCGTAATACTGGGCCACGATGTCGTGGAGCAGCTCGGGGCCGGCGAAACCGTTCTGGATCAGCACCTGCGGGGCGAAATGGCCAAGCAGAATGACGGCCGGCTGCTCGGGACGGAGCAGAATAGAGCGGACGAGCAGCTCAAAGTGATCCATCCAACGGGGGTCACTGAGGTTAGTTGTTCGCCAGCATCTGCAACTCACTAGGGGTCCGAAGCATCAAACTCGAGAATGACAATGTCGGTCTCATCCGGTAGGTGGTGGTTGGAGCAGTACGCAAAGTACGCCGAGTCGGTTCTACGAGCGGCGCCATTCGTAAGCTCGCTGAGGGGGTGGGGGAAGACCGAGTTCCACCACTCGAAGAACTTGCTGGGCCAGCAGCGAGGCGAAAGCGGGTCATCACCAGCGCCGTGACAGGCCGAGATAGAGCCGCCAAGCACGCTGATAGTCACCGGGTGACCCGACATAGCCTTCTGAATGACCCGCTGGAGTCGCGCACCGGTGCCAGTGTGCACGCGCGACTTGAGCAGCGCAATCTGCCCTCGCCTCTGCGCGATCGCATCACCGGGGCCGAACACAGGGCAGAAGTCGAACGGCGCAGGGTCTGAGGTGGAGGCATTGAGGTAGTCCTTCGCCGTGAGGAGACCGGTCGGCGCCGTGTAATGTCCTTCCGGAACGGCGTTGGGGGAGGCTACAGTTAGTCTGGATCAAATCTGAGTTTCCTCACAGATCAAGAGTCGGGATAGGAAGAAAAGAGTGAAACAGCCCCCAATGATGTACCAAACGCGTCGGGGAAGACCTGATAGTGTCAGTTCGTGGTCGAAGGTTCAACAACTCACCAAACTGGCCGCGTTCATCACGCGGCTTGCTCAGCGAACCCATCCTGCGATTGAGCTGGCCGAGAAACGAATGTGAACTTCCAAGAAAGAAGGTGGTTTAGAGTTCTGAGGTCGATCGTGGCGACTTTCCGCGGGTAGCAGGGTGAGGGCAGCGCGGGATCGACATTTCACGCGGGACCAGAGCCACGTGCACACTGAAGCTTAGCGCGTCTGAGGGTCGTACGCGTCATGTCCGCCTTCCTCGCTGAAATCAAGAGCACACAGTCAACAACCTGCATACCTGCCGCGCCGCCAGTCCGACTCCGAGCTCCGAGACGGCCGCCGACCTCCGAGACCGACAGTCGTCATGGCGCTTCCGAAGCATCTCCAGAATGGCCTCACGCCCGACGAGCACACCTTCCTCGCCGAGGAAGAGGTCATCGACATCGTCCCCCTCTTCTCCATGTCCAAGGTCCGCTTGATCTCCGGCATCTACGGCCCCTTCACGCCACCGAGCAAGGCTACTGTCCCGCTATGGTTGGCATTGAGCTTGAAGCGCAAGAGGAAATGCAGAATAGTGGCTCCTGACTGGTTGAACCCAGGTGAGTCACCGCTTGGACGTCACTCCGCTGACCTACAGACAAGCTTACCCTTCTGCTGAAGAAGGAGCGCGAGAACGCCGAAGGCTTCGAACCTCTACCCCGCCGCTTCGTCGAAACAGCGAAGGTCTTGCTCGACATGTAGGTAGTCAAGCTGGCACATAACCTAACCCCACAGTGCTCCGGACGACCTCGCTCAACCAGCCATGCTCCGGTCATTGCTGAAGGATATCCGCGAGACTCGGCAGGCCAAGATTCGCATTGGTCTGCAATCCGAGGGTGTCATGCGCGGCCGTTACCTCCAGGTCACGAATCTGACGCCGCTGGAGCTGTGTGAGATCCGACCCTTCCTCGTGAAGGCGATGGGCATGATGCAGCGCCTCGAGAAGGACGAGGAGGAAGAATGAGACGAGACGACTACTAGATCCGCCTCTATCTGTTGTACTATACCATGTAACACTGCACTGCCTGCTGTAATCTGTACATTTGTCTTCTTACGTCTATAGAACTCCCGGCACCTCTCCACGAGCCTGGTCCTGGGCGGCGACCTGGGCAGCCTTCTCCTCCTCAGCGGCGACGAGCGCCTCGATGGCAGCGATGGGGTCCTCCGAAGACAGGTCGACCTGGTGGATGCCGTGCTTGTCGATCATGATGCAGTTGAAGTCAAACTTGACCGTGAGACCTGGAGTGTAAGCTTAGTCACGATTCAAAGGACAGCTGTCCGATTCTCTTCGACACTCACGGATCTTGACCTCGTCGATACACTTCCTGATCGTCTCCACACCCTCCCGCTTGTCGGCATCCTCCGTCCAGTACTTGTCCATCGTGGACAGACAGACGAGCTGTCCGAAGCCGTGGGCGGCGTACGAGACGGTGGCCTTAGTGCCAAGGTAGTCGATCCAGTAGAGATGCGGGACGTCTGTCGTCGTGTCGTATCCGGCGAGCAGCAGGTTGACAGCATACGGGCGACGCGATCGCAGCGAGTCGGCAAGGGTGCGACGGATCCAGCTTCCGGCAGCGTGAGGAAGGAGAGGGTGGTTGTGTCGAATGTTGTAGAGACGGACGTTACGCTCGACGTAGTCGGCAAAGTTGTTCGTGTCTCCCGGTTCTCCGCCGTAAGCCATGGCAAGATGAGGTCCAAGAGCCTTGATCTTGTTCTCGTCCGACTTGAACTGCAGGATAGAACGACCCGCGGTCATGTCTGATGCGAGGAGGACATAGTCCTTGCCTGTTGATGAGAAGGAGGTGCGTCATCAAAGCGAAAGTCGAGATTGACGGAAGAAGGAGCTGCGTCAGCTATTGCAAGGGCAGTAGTCAACACCCCACTCACCTGTGATGCCAAACGAGCACTCCATGTTGATGCGATGGGAGAGTGCTGAAGCTCGTTGGCGAAGTCGAGATTGCAGTTGACCGTCGTCACTGGCTCTGTCGTCGGCGTTGTGCAACGCGCGTTCAGGGTATGTGGGGGGCTTTGATAGATGATGCATGATGGAATGGCACGTGGAATAGATTCCGAGCATTCTCGGCAGCTAGCACGTCCACCACCGATCGGCGTCTGTTGTCGTGTCCGAGGTACGTGTCATCGACCTCATTTACGAGCGATACAGCCCAACAAATCAACGAGGCCGAGCTCCGAGCAACTCCGCGCCATAATGACGACGCTCGACCTCGACCTCTCACCGGTCACCCTTCTCCTCCAGGAGATCCAGACGGTGACCTCGGCTATGCGCCGGAACCAACGCTGGGCTCATGTTTCGAACTCGGGGTACGGCGCCGGCGTGCCGTCTGTTTCGGCTCGAGGAAAACGCGTCTCTCCCCTGACAAAGGGAAAGCGACACTCCGAAGATGATGGCGATCTCATGCTCGGCTTTGTTGAGCTCCGGCGATCGCTCGCCGGTGTCCTCGATATCACGACGCTCACGCCGCTGGACATTGTCGACCCATTTATTGCTTTGGTCCGCTCGCCGCTGACGTCTGGACCGATTACGAGTCTGTCGCTCACTTCGCTCCACTCATTGTCGATCCACATTCTTCCCCTCTACTTCCCAGCCACGAAGCCACCGGTCATCAGCCCCGCGTCGCCCCTCCAGATCGCACTGGCCCATGTCACAGCCGCTCTCGCGCAGTGCCGCTTCCCGTCAAGCTCTCCCCAGCAGGATGAACTCGTTCTGCTGCGACTGTTGAGGGTGATCGAGGCGCTCACTATCCCAACCCTTCCCAGCAGGGCTGGCACGACTGCCGTTCCACAAAGCCTCCTAGACCACATGGGCGACGAGGGGGTTTGTGAGCTTCTCGAAGTCGGTTTGGGCATGCTCGCCCGCGGACGTCTGAGTGAGGGTCTGCGAGGCACGGCGCAGCTTTGTGTTCAAGCAATCACCCGCACCACATTCCTGCGTCTGAAGTCCCTTCGCCCCGAGGACGTGGAATTGGCACTCAAATCGCGCTCGGACGCCGACAAGGTGAAGGAGACTGTCGTTGTTGCCACGCAGAAGGAGATCGCAGAAGAGGAGGCCTCAGCCGAGCAAGCCGTGGAGCGGCCATCAGAGGAACCCCCTGTCGAGGAACGCAAGAGCGAGGAGGAACAGGCCCAGGAGAAGCAAGAGGAAGGCGAGCCGTCATTGCTCGGAAAGGCAGCTGACGCTGTTAAACCGCCACCAGCCCCGAGTGAGGCCGCCGACGAACCGGAGCCGCCCCAATTCCTGCCCTACGGTCTGCCGACCATGTTAGAGCTGCTTCGAGTCCTCATTGCGCTCCTCAACCCGACCGACCAAGCTCACACGGATTCTATGCGCATGTCGGCTCTTGCTGTTCTGAACGCAGCTCTCGAAGTCGGTGGCAAGTCCATCGGCACTTGGCCAGAGCTGCGTGAGGGTGTGCGGGATGAGGGCTGCCGCTATCTCTTCCAGTTGACGCGTGCCGACTCGCCTGTCCTTCTCACCTCGTCATTACGTACAACGTCAACGCTCTTCGCGACGCTGCTTCCTCACCTGAAGCCGCAGCTGGAGCTCTTCCTGTCGTACTTGATCGACCGCCTGACGCCGCCGACGCCTTCGCCTCTTCCTCCCCATCTCCGTGACATCTCTCGCCCGACATCGCCGCGGCCCACAGTGGGGGCCGACGGAAGCGTTGAGGGCGACAAGTCGCAGACGCCACCGACGTCAACACCCAAGCCGTTCGCAATGCTGCCGCCGATGCCTGCGCAGTCGAAGGAGCTGTGGCTTGAGAGCCTCGCGCAGATTGCCACTCGTCCCAGCTTCATGGTCGACTGCTATGTCAACTTTGACTGCTCGGTGGACAGCGAGGACATCTTTGAGCGGCTGATCGCCTTCCTCACCCGGGGCGTCTTCCCCGCCGGGCCCCCGAAACAGGACGGCTCGACACAATTCGATGGCCTTGACAACTCGCAGCTTCTCTGTCTGGAGATCCTCCTGTCGTTCATCGGCTCGATGGCGCTGCGCCTGGAGTTCGGTGACGAGCCTTGGCCCGCTAACACGGTTCCTGTGGAGCAGCTCGCCAAGGACAAGGACAGGAAAGCTGTCCTCATTGCTGGCATCGAGCAATTCAACGTCAAGCCGAAGGTCGGACTGGAGTTCCTCCGCAAGAATGGTGTAATCGTGCCCGACGATGGACCCGGCACCGACGAAGACCGGATGCGAAGAGCCACTGCCCGTTTCCTGAAGTCGTCTAGCCGTTTGGACAAGCGCGAGCTTGGTGACTACATCTCGCGTCCCGATCAGATCGATCTTCTGAAGGAGTTCATTGGGCTGTTCGACTTCAAGGGCAAGACCATCGCCGACGCCCTTCGAGAGATGCTCGAGACTTTCCGTCTCCCTGGTGAAGCTCAGCCAATCGGCCGCATCACCGAAGTCTTTGCAGACCACTTCTTCTCCTTCGGCCCGCCGGAGATTGCGTCCACCGACGCAGTTTACGTTCTGGCTTACTCCGTCATCATGCTCAACACGGATCTTCACAACCCTCAGAATCGAAAGCGCATGACTATCGAGGACTACAAGCGCAACGTCCGAGGCTGCAATGATGGCAAGGATTTCGATCCCGAGTACCTTACCGCTATCCACGACAGCATCCGAAAGCGCGAGATCATCCTTCCCGAGGAGCATGCTGGCCAGCACGGCTTCGACTACGCTTGGAAGACGCTGATGCAGCGCTCGCGCACATCAGGCCTCACCATCACCTGCAACACGGCGCAGTTCGATCGGGAGATGTTCAAGATGTCGTGGCGACCGATGATGGCGTCGCTCGCCTACGCCTTCATGATGTCGTCTGCTGACGAGCACGTCATCCAGCATGCTATCACGGGCTTCAGGCAGTGCGCCACGCTCGCAAGCCACTTCAACATGCCGGAGGTGTTTGACAACATCGTCCAGTCTCTTGCTCCCGCGACTGGCCTGCTCGACGAGACGCCAGAGGGCTACCAAATGGGCAACCACCCGACGGCGGAACGCGATGGCGTCACTCTCACCGTCTCGCCTCTCGCCATTCACTTTGGTCAGAGCTACCGCTCGCAGCTGGCGACCGTCGTTCTCTTCACCATTGCGAACGGCAACAGCAACGACATCCGTGAGGGCTGGCCGCTCATCTTTGAGATGTTCCAGACGCTCTTCCTGCACTCGCTCCTCCCGTCGGAGATGCTCCAGATGGAGGACTTCCTCGCTGGAACCTCTACCATCCCCCTCAAGGCTGCCACGCCTGTTCCGGAGCGCCGACCCGAGGGCAGCGGCTTGCTGTCGACACTATCATCCTATCTCCTCAGCCCCTATGGTCAGACCAATGAGCCTGTCGTTGTTGAGGCCAGCGAGGAAGACATCGAGAACGCGCTTGTCGCTGTGGACTCACTCGCCTCTTGTCGGCTGGAGGAGCTGTACGCTGAGATCCTCACCCTCGGCGTCGACTCTCTCATCCCGGCCCTTCGTGCCATCCGCCAATTGGCGGAGGCACGTACGACACAAAAGCTGGCGCCTCGCGAAACGCCCGACGGACCGCGTCACTTCGATGGACAGCTGGCTTATGACCCCGCCTGCGCTTTCCACCTCGAGATGATGGTGTCCCTCGCTGCTCACGGCAAGGAGCACATTGCGGAGTCCTGGCCTATCATCTTCGAGTACATCTCGGCCCTGCTCAACTCTGCCCAGAGCTATCCCGACCTGCTCATCGAGCGCGCGGTCGTTGGTCTGCTGCGTCTCTGCCTCGCCGTCTCTGAGCAGTCTGAACTCCGCGACCAGCTGTACATTGCCCTGGACGTCCTCCGCTCGTTGCCGTCTACTGTTCTGAACAGCGTGTCCGAGCAGCTTATGGCCGGCGTCGCCCGCATTCTCGAGAAGGATGCCGGCGTCGCCAAATCGCAGACGGAGTGGGGACTCATCCTCGCTCTGTTCAGCGCGACCGTAGCTCACCCTGAGGCGAGCAAGGTCACGATGTCGATCGTCCAGAAGATGGTCACCGGCACGCATCCTGGCCTTACGACGGACAACTTCAGCGGAGTCGTTGCCCTGCTGGACGAGTTTGCCACTGCTGCTGGGGCTGCCGCTGCCTCTCGCCAGCCTTCGCGCCGTGGCGGCGCTGACGTGCGCGCAACTCTTGGCCCTACGCTGGAGCGCGGCCTTACGGCTCTCGACTCGCTGTACGAGCTGCGCAACCTTATCCCCGGTTTGATCGAGCGCAGTGGTAAGACGAGCCGCGACGCCTTCAACACGTTCTGGCTGCCGCCACTCCTCGTCATCAGCAAGCAGTGCGTGAACGGCCACCGCGAAATCCGCTCTCGCGCGATCGGCTACCTGCAGCGTTTGCTACTCAGCCCGCAGCTGATGGCTGCGGACGCGGACACGCTGCCGATCATCTTTGACCGCGTCCTCTTCCCGGTGCTGGACGAGCTGCTCAAGCCGCAAGTGCACGACCGTGACCCACAGGGCGCGATCGAGATGCGCCTGCGCGCCGCGCCGCTCCTCTGCAAGGTGTTCCTGCAGTACGTCGTCGGCCTCACCGGCTCATCGGTCGTTGGGCCGCAGTTCGTCCGTGTGCTCGACAAGTTAGAGCGCTTCATGCGTGGCGACCGCGACATGCTCAACGAGGTTGCCGAGAGCCTCAAGAACGTCGTCCTTGTCATGTACAGCAGCAAGTTGCTCGTGCCGCCGCCGGCGCAGGGCGAGACGAGGACACAGGATCAGATCGAGCTCTGGAACGCGAGCGCGCCCCGTGTCGAGCGTATGATTCCCGGATTCCTTGATGAGGCGCTGCAGCCCGACGAGGAGCCGGTCGTCCCGGAGAACCAGGAGCCGGTGCCGGTCGCTGAGGAGTCTGCTGAGGAAGTCAAGGAAGAAGCCCCCGTAGAAGCATAGGTAGAAGCATAGAAGATAGCAACAATGTATTTTAGGTCCAAGCATTGACCATGATGTGGCACAAGAACAAGGTATGATGCAAGTTTTGTTCGACGGCATATCCCCCGATTTTGTGCCACAACGATTGCTTTCCAAGTCATCTGGCCTTGGTCAGTACACGATGAGCCAAACACCCAGAATCTCTGTATAGCAGATGATGCATCCACTGTGATAAGGGGAGGTATAGCACAACTTATAACTAGCTACTACAATCTGCATCTATCTAACCACACTTCCAGTAACAGATGTCACCGTCGACAATCTCGTAGGGCTTGCCCTGCTGCCTAAGCTTTCCAGCGGCCTTGGTGGCGGCCTCGGATCCGTACTGCTTCAGGTCCTCGAAGGCCATGATCTCACCACAGACGAACTTGTTCTCGAAGTCCGAGTGGATGACACCAGCAGCCTGCGGCGCCTTGATGCCCTTACGGACGGTCCAGGCGCGGACCTCATCGGGACCACAGGTGAAGTAACGGATAAGGTCAAGGACCTGGTATCCCGCCGTCGTGATCTTGCCGAGGATGGAGGGGTTCTTCTTGCCCAGGCCGAGCTGCTCGCCCTCGGCCTCGGCCTCCTCCTCGGACAGACCGACGAGACGCTCCTCGAGCGCAACCGAGAAGGGAATCAGGGCGTCTCCCGGGTTGTTCTCGTCGATCCACGCCTTGATCTTGGGAAGCCACTTGTTCTTTCGTCGCACGAAGTCGCGCTCGGAAAGGTTGACGAGGTAGGTGATGGGCTTGGCCGTGAGGAGGGTGAGACCGTTGATGATCTCGACCTGTATTTGTCAGCTATAGTCCTTCTTCAAGGTAGCAGGAGTGACAGTGGTTCAGTAAAGTGTAACTTCTCATTTGTTTGTTCGGGCGTGACCCCGACATCGACGAGCTGGGTTTATAGGGCTTTTCGCCCGTTCTCATCATTTAAGATGAAAGGTTGGAGAACTGCTCACCTCCTTGTTGGACCACTGGCCCTTGCGGACGTCCTTGTTGTCCTCCTTGAGGGTCTTGAGGATCTTCTCAACGGTAGCAAGCTCCTCCTTCTTGGCCTTGTCGGCAAGCGAAACGTTGCCGCACGAGCGGACCTGCTTCTGGAGCTTCTCAATCTCCTTCTCAACCCACTCAATGTCCTTGAGACGGAGCTCGTTCGAGATAATCTCCATGTCACGGATGGGGTCGACGTCACCCTCGACGTGGATGACCTCGGCGTCGTCGAAGGCACGGACGACCTGGAAGATACCGTCGACGGCACGGACGTGGGACAGGAAAGCGTTTCCGAGACCCTCACCGGTCGAGGCACCCTTGGTGAGACCGGCGATGTCGATGCAGGTCAGGAAGGCGGGGACCTTGGAGGCGGGCTTGTACAGGTCGCAAAGCCAGGTGAAGCGGTCATCGGGGACGGGGATACGGGCCTCCTCGGGGTCGATGGTGGCGTAGGGGAAGTTGGCGGCCTTGCCGAGGTCGGTCTTGGAGAGGGTGTTGAAGAAGGACGACTTGCCGACGTTCGGGAGACCGACGATACCACACTTCAGGTTGTTGCCGGGACGGCCGAGGATGACCTTCTTGTCCTCGACGACCTTTTTCTTGGGAGGCATTTTCTTGTTTCGCTTCGCGTACGCGGCGGGGGACGTGGAGAAATACAAAGACTGGGCGACGAGCGGCTGGCGGACTACTCGCAGAGCAGTGACGGGGGTGGCAGCAGCGGCTGTGTTTACAAGGGGGAGAGCGTGGGGACGAGGGGAGACTCGTGCGAAATTATAAAGAAAAGGATGAAGAGGGTTGGGGCGACGAGGGAGCATGCACCTCTCTCGTCGGTTTTGCGATTGAAAGAGAAAGAAAAGATCCGAGAGCAGACCTTTGACCTTCAGTTTTGACTTTTCGTCGCCGGGTTTGGGTGCGAGCGTTTGTCTGGCTGATTACCCTGTGTCCCTGGCCTATAGTGCTCTGCTCAGCATGCTCTGGGCGGAGATTTCGTCCGTTGTGCGCGGAGAATGACTGGGCCACGTTGTCGCCGCGCATATACCCCTTCCAGCAAAATTTCTCCCGCTGAGTAAAGCGCTTGGAACCAGAGGTATCACGTGATCATCCTGGCCTCCACCTCCAGTCCATCGGCGACCACCGACGCGACCCAGGACGCGACGGCGACAAACCATGCACAACGTCACCGGACACACACCACCTCCACAACAACATCGACAATGACCGCCATGGACCCCGCCAAGCTGCACCGTCTCGCCCAACTTGCCTTCAAGAGTGAGCTGAACGGGACCTGATGTAGCTGACAGAGCAGCAAGGGACAGGGCGTATGCGCCGTACTCCAAGTTCCGGTATGCTGTGATGCTGTTCACTAGCTGACATCAGTGTCGGCGCCTCCCTCCTCCTCAGCAGTGGCGAGATGATCGGCGGATGCAACGTCGAGAACGCCTCGTTCCGTGAGTTTCTCCGCCTACTCCGCAAACTAACGCCCAGCTGCCGGAGTCTGCGCCGAGCGTAACGCGATCGGCCGCGCAGTCTCGGAACATGGCAAGATCGAGGTCGCCGCTGTCGTCGTTGTCTCGTAAGCTCCCGTCCTCTTTGCAAAGCTGAAAGAAGTGACCTGCCGACGCCATCTGTGTCGCCCTGCGGTGTGTGTCGCCAAACCTTGCGCGAGTTCACCTCGCTCGACGCGCCCGTATATATGCTCGCGTCGTCGTATCCGTGGCAGGACAACGCGACGCCGTCGTATATTAAGCCTGGGCACGGTAAGGGACAGCCGACAATCGAGGATGCCAAGGTCGCGGTTACGATGACTCTGGGCGAACTCCTGCCCATGAGCTTTGGACCGGAGGCGCTGGCTGCTCCCAGGGGTTGAAGGTGAAGCAGGGGAAGGAGGAGGGTGGGGGTAACGCGTGACCGCGCTGGAGGCGGTCTGTGGTGCCCACACATCCCTCGTCCCTTCGACTGTGAGACTCTGGGGAAGTCTTGGTACCCGCCATCTGCGGAAATCAGTGCGGAGCTCTGGGACACCGGACAGCTGACAATGTTGGAACGCGTCTGGGCCTCTCCAGTGCAGAGAACGCGGCTAGTGTGATGACCGAACAGGCTTCATTAACCACCCACTCTCACGGTACAAGCCACGTCGTCATGAGATGTCACACTTCTCGCATGTGATACTGCTGCGGCATGCAGAATGCACGGACAGCGTGATGGATATCGCTCCGAAGTGGGTTTATTACTCCACATCAGCTGAGCGTAACGTCTTAAATGAGGGAGACGTCAGCGGCGCAGCATGCTTCCCCGGTTCGATGTCACCGGAGACCGGTAGACCCGGGTACAGCGGTCGACCGAGGTGCGGTGGCGAAGATGTGGACGTGAATGTGGCATAGATGGCGGCAGAAGCCTAATATCCTACTGATATTCATGTTTGGTATGGAACTGATCTCTATCGTGTATGTCGGATCGTATGGAAGTGAATTAGTGGGCAGGCTAGCTGAGCAAAGGCGTGTCCGGCTCCTCTCCGGTGCCAGGCTGTCTGTCGCCAGAGCTCTGGTGCTCGGTGTTCGACGGCTGAGACGTCTGGCCATCATGGGATCGAGACGACGTCTCGCGGTTGGACTGCGGCCTGCTCGCCGATGCAGACGAGGTCTGCCGCATCTCCTGCTCGCGCGTACACGTTTGCGCATGAGAAGGCGGAGGCGGCGGAGGCTGCTGCCTACTCGACAGGCGACAGTTCAGGTTCCACCCAAAAGGTGTATCGTGCTGCTGCCTCTCGAATGTGGCAATAGGCTCTACCTCGAGCCTCTGGGCCCACTGCCTGTCAGCTCAGTCCACTCTGGTTTCAACACCTCTGTTACTCACTTGACGGTTGTCATGGTCCAGGCGCTGATGGAGCTCATCTATCCGCTGGTGCAGATACCTCAGCCCATCGACGTATGCCAACTCAAGCGTGATGCTCGTGTTGCGATAGAAGACCCAGGCAAGGAAGAGAAAGAACAGGACCGTGAAGCCATGAGGCATGTAGCTCTCTATCGCTGAGCGCATTGCCTCCCTCAGAGGGATGACCTCGGGGACACTCTCGATAGCAGCGGCCGCTCCTTCATCACTCGCCTCGGCCATAGCGGCGGACAGCGTGGCGGAGGCCTCGCTACCTGTCGGCGCGGGCGGGAGAGCGACGTAGAGTGTGGTCGTGGTCTTGAGGAGATCAATCGGGCTCATGTTGTGAGGGGATGGAGGAGGGACAGGGCCGATGAACCAGCTTTAAAAGCTCACGAACGCAGTCAGAGAAGTTGGGGATAGTGCTTGATTCGTCACTGGCAGGGGATGCCTGCTATCGCACAACTGTACATTTGCAGATCGGCCGGTCGGAAGACCAGGGATCGACATCTCCTCGGCAGACATATGGTGTCGCAGCAATCGCTTCCCTGCGCTTGTACATGCGGTTCACAGCCACAGTATTCAGACATGATCTGCAACGTTCTCACGTTGTACTGCGGGACCACGACTGAGCGTCATCAGCGCAGGCCGTAGATCGTCGTTACTGTCACTTCAATTCTTTTCGAAAATAGCGGATCTGCCACACCAGCCTAGTGGCTGCGGGAATGTGTGAAGACCCCAGTTCTGGCAGAAGTAGCGTTGCATTACAACTATTGAGGGTCTATGAGTGCAGGGAAGGCTGTGTATGGCTCTTCTGAGGCTGAGGAGTAGCGACTACTGCGCCTTGCCAAGGAGCGGGTCGTTCTCATCCTCTGAGCTTTCTGAACCGTCCGAACCATCCGAGCCGTCCGAGCTGTCACTCTCCTCCTTGAATCTGACCTCCTTCTTCGCCTCCTTCGAAGATTCTCTAGCAGCATCGACGGGTGGGTTCTCGGGCACTTTGACAGGCTCGTACTGAGCCTCGGAGGTGGGGGTCGACCCTGCGTTCTCGCGCTCGGGCACGGCTGCGGTCTGTCCGGCGCAGCGCTCAATATCGGCATCGAGGCGGCGATGCAGCCGGTCGAAGTGGTACTGCAGAGCCTGGACTTCACCGACATAGGTGGTGTAGGTCAAGGCGAGGCCGGAGCAGATGAGGGCGAAGAAGGCGAGCACGCCTAGGATCGTGAAGAAGATGCCCCAATCGGACCAGGCGGAGTTGCGTTGCGCCGCTTCGTCGAGCAGGGCTGGGAGGGTGGCGTTGAGGGCTGCTACGAGGGCAGGGTCGGGAGGGGGAGTTAGGCCGGGGATGCCTTGGCCTGGGACGAGGACGTAGGCTGTCGCGGCGGGGGCGGGGTTGAGGGCGGCGAGGTCGATGGGGCTCATCTTGTGTTGTTGGTGGTTGGGAGAACGAGGGCGAGCTCATGAGGTCCTTATAACCCTTCGTTCCCGGGATGGCACCGCTGCTCCGTGGGAGGCCTGTGTTGCGCCTCTCGCAGCGCTGCCGTGTGTTGCGCGTCACAGCTACGCCGCGGACATCGGCGAGACTGCCACGCCACACTAGCCTCGGGGTGGCCATCTGCTGATCTCACATTCATCAGCACCGGTGGGCTAGGATCTGTCGACCCGATAAGGGACCGCCTTAGCCGGCTTTCTCACAACCTGCGACCCCTACCTCATCGTGGTATCGAAGTATGCATGATGCTATGTGAAGTACTACCCACCTCCCAATCCAGTTACAACGAATGCGCCAGCGCGTTCTCCAGCGTATACATGTCCGCCAGGCCCACAACCGTCTCCCTCACCTTCTGTGCCCAGTAGACCTCATCACACCGCATCTCGGCAAGGCGGATCTCAGCGTGGGCCACGCTCTCCACACTTCTGCCCTCTTCCACTCTCCGCTCGAGTTCCTCCTCCGCAGCCGCTCGCCGGAGTATCACGGCGTCCAAGTGCGCCAGTTGTCGATCTCGCTGTTCTTCCAGAATGTTGATGCGGGAGGAGATGTCGAGGAGTTGAGCGTGCAATCGATCTCTGCGGCGGTTTCGTTGTAGTTGCGTGTGATATTGATACAGCACCACAGAGGCTGCTGCCAGAGCTGGGCGTCAGCTATGCTAGAGGGGAGAACGTACTGAAGACGAGATAGACCCAGAAGAGGTCCAGCATGACGTCGCCCATGCCCGTTGCGGACAGTCGGTCGACAGCGGCGCAGAGCGCCCCGTGCGCTGACGCCTCACACATGCTGTTCTCCCTCTTTCGGACTGTGGTGAGTGAGTGATGTGCAAGAACATGAATGCATCTGTCTCTTGTAGCAAGGGACAAGTGGGGCGATCACTCGAGCTAGTGTGGTCGTACATTACACTATGCGGCGGAGGTTGCAGCCTGTCCAGAAGCTGGGGGCGCTAGAAAGATACCCGCAACCACACCTACTAGGTAAGCGGCGAGCACCGAGTTTCTGCAGCAAGTGCGCACTAGTCAGCCACTAAGCGGATTAAGCGGGGTGGAGCGCTAGTCCGGATAGCGTGGACGTAATCTGATCCGCACCTGCTACAGGTCACTGAAATTCGCGCATCCCGCACTCTTCATCGTCAAGACGGAGGGGAATGTTGCTGGATCAAGTAACCCAGAAGAGTGAAAGAGCTCGATTAGGGCGGTGGAGCAAGGAGTTGACGAGCTGACGAATCGCCACGAACCCGTTGATGACCGCACGTGTGTCCTGGGTGACTCACGATCGCTCGCGATCCACTCATGCGTCTGACGTGTTGTGCGTCAGCTACCGTATGCCAATACACCCACATGCACATGTAGCACACAATCAACATCTACGCCCACCAGATCGTGTGCCTGCACAATAATCGGCAGAAGTAGTGCCTCAGCGATGCAGCCATGCCGCCATGCAGCTATGCAAGCCATGCAAGCCATGCAAGCCA